AATAGGTATTAGAAAAATCATGAACTAAGTGAAAATATATAAATTAAACTAGGAGAGAGAGAGGGAGGTGGGTGGGAGAGGGAGGTGGGTGGGAGTGCTATAAAGTAATTAACGTGTATTGGCAAGTACTGGGCATGCACTGGCTCCTGGGTGTATCTGAACCTGGCTCCAGTGTTGATCAAGTCTGGATTTAAAACAGTTCACACTCGTTGCCATCACAACACACTCTGGTACATTGTTCCAAGAGTTCACTCCTAACTGGGACAACTCTCACTCTAAAAAAAAAACAAAGTTTGTCCTGATAATTTTCTGAACTTATGGCTTCTTCAACGTTAAACTGTGACCCTTGAGGAGACGGACAACCACCAAGCTCCAGGTCTAACAGTACTGTGGCGGAGGGAAGTAAATGCTAAGTTTCTCCTAAAATAATATCTGGTTTTCTTTCAATAACTGTTTTAAGAGTATGGTGATTGACAAGGAACTAAACACTATTCCTTTAATACGATAAAAACAAACGGATTTCATCATAACTTATCACTAGTATTGGTAATCACTGTAAATAACTGTGGTGGGTCGGTCGGTGATACGGAGAGAAGAGAACATTAGCTCTGAGGGTGCAAGAAGGGTACAGTACAAGGTAAAGTTCAGAAGTGGGAAACAGAGGAGGAGGTTAACAGCAGGTGGGCTATCCACCTTGCGGAGACGGATTTATTGTCTTCCGTCAACAGTGCTGCATTAGTGGCTCATGGGGTTAGGGAAGGCCAGTCTCAGCCAAGCTAAGCTAAGTTGTTCTATTTGATGTTTCCTTGGGGCATATTATGATAGGGGGGGTCCCTCCAGGTCCTTGTGGCACTGGAGGGATGATTCCCATCTTTTTCGTTTCTAGTTTTATTGTGGGGGTTTGTGAACTATTTAGGTCTTTGTTTATTTGTGGGGTCCCTCCAGGTCCTTGTGGCACTGGAGAGTTGTGCCCATCTTTTGGTTCTTTTTGTATTGTGTATATAGAGGCTCTGGTTCTTCATTATCATTTCTTCTGCTTCTAGACCACCATCTGTGGGATGTGTTGTTGCTTTCCTCAATTAGTTGGTTTAGTATGGGATCCTGTTCTTGCTGGATTTTTTCCCATATTGCATTTGCTTGGGTGTGTATTCTGGTGTTGAGTGGGTCTATAGTGGGTTAACTTTCCCATTAATGCCCAGTACTCACCAGGTAGAGCCGATAACAGCGTCAACTGAGGACTAAAAGGACTTAAGATGTACACAACCAATTATTTTTTGGCTAGTCCCTTAAAGAAAACTAACTCACCAACTAGATACAGTAATATCTATTTTTGTCTTCACCTTTTTTCTCCCGATAATACAGTAAGTATGTGATGTCCACCGCCAACATCTACCGAGTTATTCTTTTAGTTGTTTTTACTTTCGTTTGGGACACACACACACACACACACACACACACACACACACACACACACACACACACACACTGACAACATAAATCAACTAATTAAATATACAAATTTCTAATCAGTTTTATGTATTTAATAGTGATATATTTAATACAATTTATTTATATATTTCTATAGTTACCCTAATATAAAGGTTCTTACAAGACTTGCCTAAAATAATCCTTTTCTAATTACGTCTTCATTCTAATTAATGTATTTATTAAAAGGTATTAAATATATTAACATAAGAGATACATCAATATTGTTGTCATGATTAAAATAAATAACAATAACATAGTCAGTTTCTGTATTTTATCTATTTTATTAATTAATTTAGTAGATATTTTCCCTATAATCGATTTACATTAACAACATAAAATGGTGATTATCCAGTCTGGTATAATTTGTATAATAAAGTTCCGTGTAAAGTTTGGTTAAAGTTCACTTATACACGTTCAAGTCCCAGTAATTCTTTCCCTCACTCCTACACAGTTCAGTAATTCTTCCCTCACTATTTCAATTTATTTTAACAATTGTATAGACTAGCGGGAAAATAATATAACACTAAATAAAACTAACTGTATATTGGCGCGAAAATTATGTGTAACTAACAATCGTCCACCTATCGCGAAAATAATATAACGCTAAATAAAACTAACTGTATATTAGCGCGAAAATTATGTGTAACTAACAATCGTCCACCTATCGCGAAAATAATGTAATACTAAATAAAACTAACTGTATATTGACGCGAAAATTAAGTCTAACTAACAACCGTCCACCTATCGCGAAAATAATATAACACTAAATAAAACTAACTGTATATTGGCGCGAAATTTATATATAACCAACATCAGTCACCTATCGCGAAAATAATATAACGCTAAATAAAATAAACACGATAATAACACTTACAAATACATCTACTTGATTAACGCGAAATTAATGTCCCGTCAAAATATCTGATGAAAAGATTTACATTGGCGCATAAATAATATCCCTCCTAAAATATAAATAAATCCTATCATTAACAAATATCAACAAATCAATAACCACTAATTAAACAACTACAGCCTGTAACTCAAATCACCTATCTCATAAGTAAACAAATCTTGTAAATATATTTCACTATATAAACACAATTCATTCATATAACTTTTCTATTTATATTCCATCATTTTACTCTTGTGTTTACTATATCATTTAATCCCGCCATTTGTACTCATTAATTCTCAACCAGATGTTTAAATACTACTTTGTTTACTATGGCTTTTAATTATCGTCTTTAAATTCATTCATTCTCAACCAGATGTTTAAATACTACTTTGTTTACTATGGCTTTTAATTATTTGTATTTAAATTCATTCATTCTGCTGTCATTAAGATATTCAGATTATTTTCGTGTACATAGTTCCTTTTATATCCGTATATTTAAGTTTATAGTTTCTTTAATGTAGATATAAATATTATCATGGTTATTTTAACTTAGACAATAGATAAACATACGGTTTATAAATGAGTTTTTAGTGAAATTCATAAATATTACTTATACCCCTCACAAGTGCCCTTTAGCCATCAACTTTCCTCTGTTTTCTCTCAAAGCTAACAACACTAGTGACAGGTGTTATATCTGTTATAAATTTCAAATTAATTTTGGTATACTTTATACACATTTATTATTACATTTACGTGTTCGCTGGTGATATGATATTTATGAGAAAACATATTTGCATATTTCAATAGTTACCCCCAAAATAATGGTTTTCTGTAGTCAAGGTTGTCTTGTGATCTTTTCATATATATCTAATCACTTATTATCCTAAATTATAATTTTGTATTAATTTAATAATTTTAATACGTTATTAAACAAAAAGATTATCTATTTATATCAAAATTAGTAACACTAACATAGTCATTTCTTATGGAAATATATTTACAGATTTCTATAGTTACCCCAATAAAGGTTTTCTGTACTCTAGGCTGCCTTACAATGAATAATCTTATAATCTTTTTTAATACCTAATCACTTTATTATTCTAAATAATTAATTTTCATTACTTTAGTAATTTTATTTATTGATAAAATATTAAAATATTTTACATATTTTTATTCAAATTAGAAATACTAACATAATAATTTTCTATACTAAAAATTCTATTTTATAAATTAGATTTAGTGGATATTTTGCGTGTCTACGTCAAACATCATATTTATTGTCCACATTTTTGGGGAGTCTATACAGACTTTAAATTCATATACATGTATGATTAAGTTGTAGCAGTAATATTAAGCCACAGAAACACTGATTAGACAACACCCTGTACCTATTGACCTAGTGTAACCTCGTTCAAATCCAGACGTAAACAACACTAGCAGTCTAACACATGTTCATAACTTCAGATATACATAGGTGAACCGATACATGCCTTCTGGTCTGTACTTTAACTTCTTTTTTTTTTACTCTAGTTTTATCCTCTTCACCACTGTTCGGCTCGTTAACCGCTTGGGCGATCGGTCACGTCTCTGTTACGCACTGTTGGCAAGTACTGGGCACGCACCGGCTCCTTAATGTACCTTAACCTGCTCCACTGTTGGTCAAGTCTGGTCTTGAAAGAGCTCACACTCGGTGCCGTCACAACACTGTCTGGTAGATTGTTCCAAGAGTTCACAACTCTCACTCCGAAAAAAGTTTGCCCTCACAGTTTCTGGACTTGTGGCTTCTTCAATCTTGACCCCTTGTGGGGCGAGCGTCCACCAGCTCCAAGTAAGGACACTCGACTGAGTAGTGCCCCCTGAGATGCTTATACACCTCAATTAGGTTGCCCCTTGTCATTGTAACGGGCTGGGTTTTATTCCAAATGAAATTCTAGTTTCCTAACACCTGTTAATGGTATAATATTCTTTGTTTTCCTAATCAATGTTGTTCCCTTGGTCAGATTAATTCCCTGTGTACTGTTTCTTTTCACCAGTTTTTTTTCCTGACACCTGTTTATTGTTTTCTCTGGTTGCTTTCCTTGTGATGCTCTTTTCTACATAGGTTATTTAATGGTCGCCAGGTATCAAATCACTATTACCTCTAAAGTAACACATCACATCACCCTCCAGTTTATTTCACCTAATGCTTGAATACCATAATTGCTACCTCAGAGGTTAGGTTAGGTCACACAGTACTGTTTTAGGTTAGGTTAGGTTAGCATTACGATGGTTATAAGGTATAATAGGCTGGTCAGGAGCTAATCTTCAGGTGATCCAGCAGATGATTTCATCGAAGCGTCCTCAAAATATAGTTCAGAAACATTGATCTTCCTTTAAGCTTGAAGTAAATTATTAGTCTCTGCATTACCTCTCAAACCACTATAGAAAATACAGTTGCTTATGTGGCATCCTTAGTCTGGCTGCTATTGCGAGGATCCTAAGAGCCATTCTAGGAGTTTTAACACGATGTAAACAAACACAGAGTTGCAGCTTCTCTCTCAAAACGCGTCAGCCACTGTACCAGTTACAAGTGCGGGTCTCTGCACGTCTAGTCCCATTTGGTTATTAAAAAAACACGTTTTGGTGCTCCTTTTATTGGTAAACTTTTTTCATATTTTGTAAAGCTTTCAATATCATTATAATAAAGTGTTAATGCACAATCATTCCTTATTTAATGCAATTTGTAGTGTACTTTTCACTTATTAAAAGCTGCATTTCGACTGTCATTCATAAACTCTTCCCATGACCACTGCTAACCGATTTAACACAAACCAGCAAGGTTGTCTTGTCCTACAAGGCCTTAAAACTGTTCATGGCATTTCTAATACTTCCATAAAATGTCAAATCTTATGTGTGAAGGATTAGCTTAGTTCAGAACCTTTACATGAAACAAGTGACTGGTTGTGTGCTTTCTATAAACAGCAATGGTCACTCAAAATACAATCATGCCTAGTCCATAAACTACTATGTCCCATCAACAAAGTTTGTCCATAAGTTTGAACTTTTCTCAATGTCTAACAGTTTACAAATGTCACTAATAAAGTACAGGATAGCTAAGGCTCCTCTTATAGTTTACACTAATATACATACCACAAAACAATACAAATTCTTGTCACCACTAATACCACTGGCTTCTGTACATGGATAAATACTTATAAAAGGGCTTCATCTACTTTATATTTCACTCTTGGTAAAATAATGTCTTTTTAATCAGAGTATTTAACTTAATTCATTAGTTTCATTTTACAATAATTTACATATTTGTTAAGGCTGAAGAATTCTACTAAATGATATAATCAGTGCCAGGTCCTCTCAAAACAGTCTGCATTATTATATAGAAAATGAGAGAATATTATAAGTTATTCTCATCATAGCAGAAAAAGGCTTGTATGCATAAATTCTCAAGAAAATTGATATACTGTATATGAACGTCCAATTATTAGTGTATCAAGCATTTTCACCTATTACAGCATTGATATCACTGTGGCACAAACCTAAGTCTTATAACTAAACACATTTTTACATAGGCAAGCTACACTGAAGTACTTCAGCATTTTTTTTTTTTTTTTGCATAGTAACAATAGAAAACTCCTTCACTTTAATGTAATCAATATCACGGTGTAGAAATGTCCAAATTCTCAAGTTATCCCAATATTTTCATGAGATCTTGGAGAAAAAATACAAGTCTTCCTATATATGGCTCTTGCAGTAATAGGCAATAGCATTTTACTTCTTGGCCACACAAAGTGTGAAAAAAGGTTTAAATAACTATCAATAAAAGGATATATTTTACAAACGCACAACTTTTGTTATCCAACCATTAACTCAAGTTGTCTGGCTATATAGTTCAACAATCTAAAGTGTTAAGTTACCCAAACTTTAATTTCACAAACTTGGGGTGAACAAATTCCTGTGTACATAAGAAATTTCATACTTCTATTGACCATGCACAGACTTATTATAAACTTATACAATACTACAATATATGGTACAGTACAAGATATTGAAGTACAGTTCTGCGCAGCAATTTATGTTCCTTACCAGTGCCTCTTGTCTTGCATCCCATCCCCAAACAGTTAACTCTAACACAATGAAAGACAGTGTTATACAGAGTCACTCTTTATGGATATCCTCCCAATGAAAAATCATAATCAGCTCACTACAATCTTGAACCTGTACACATGTTATATAATACGGTTACCATATTTCAACATTAAAAAAATGGAAACTCCACCAAGAGAGGGGAGGGAGGTATTTGTACCAGTATCAACAAACTCACGTTGTATTAATGTTATATAATGTGTTATATAGGCTACAGTAAAAGCATCCTCTGATTTGCTGCCTGGTTTTACAAAATAATCTGTCAATTTTGTTGATGAACTCTCCTTGAACTGCTTTCTTGTGCTTGTCTGAGTCCGAGTTTGTAAATCATTCGCGTGTTAATTTGCCACTTTGAAAACACTTAATTTTGTCATTGTGTTTAGGGATAACAAATTAAAATATCAAATAAGATCTCTTGAAGAAATGCTTCTATACACAGTATGGACTCAGATAAGACACTGAAATTAGCACTGTGGCTAGGCCAGGGAAGGAAGGATTGATAAATTCTACCTGTCCAGGACGAAAATTGAACAGTACAGCGAACTAGACAAATCCAGGACCAATAATAAACACACGTCCGCTCTCTCTCTCTCTCGAATGATCAACATTCTCATTCTCCCAAGAACCAATGAACATTTTAAACCTTATTTTATATCATGGTCAATTTTGCATCGAAAGCTTTGGGGGAAAAATAATAAGGGCAAAATCCCGGACGCATTAGGATATTTAAAAATTCCTCCCGGACAGATTTAAGGACCAAAAAAGAAAAGACGGACATATGGTAACCCTATCATACATGAATGAAATTGATACAGGTGATCACACATACCGGGTAAATGCTGTTGACAGACAAACATAAAGAGAGAGACTGACAAACAAGTATCAATCCTAAGTTCCCTTCTGTTTCACCGGTAAGGAACAAAAATACACGAGCCTGTTTCTCGTCTAGCATCTTGGGAGTCGAGCACTTTAAATTTTCACAGACTGTAGCTCTCAATACTCTAGCACAGGGGTCTGATTTGAAAGACCAAAACCTCAATATTAACTTTAATCATCAGTCTGGCAACATACTGACACTAAATTCCAAGTGAAGTGAAATTACTCGGCCTCTGTTTAACTGATTCACACGAGGAGGGAGAAGAGGTCCAACACAGGTACCAGTAGATATAAAACCATCAAAGATAAATGCCATGAATGACACTCCCATAATGGTGATCCCCAGTGGAAGAGATCTGGGCAGAAAAAGACAAAAGCTCTTCCCAACCTTTTTAATTTAAGTTGGTCTAAGTGTTGTGAAAAAGATGAGTACAGTAGTAGCACTAGTGTTGACTCTTATGAATCATTATCTTCACATAGGTATGCCCCTGATGCACACCATGGGGAGGGACACTTAGCAGTCCAAAATTTTGATTTGCCCAGTTTGCCCTACAACCACTCATGCCAGACTAGAGATAGGCTTGTGTACAAGTGATGCTGCTATAGCACATTGTCCACTTGCAGTAACCATCCATTCTTCTGCATTAAATTTGTTTTGAGATTCATGATAATTTGCTACAAAAATCAACACAACCTAAAATCAAATTACGAAAGGATGTGTTGTGATTCTTCACAATTTCTATACTTTTCAATTTATCATTTCACCACTTATCAGCTTACTAGCCATTTAGGCAGATGGTCTGTTCTCTGTTATGAATTTTATTGTCCAGCGTTAGTACAATAGGAAACCTGTGATGTTTGGTAAGGTCACACTGGATAACACCTTCCCACATCTGTTTAGAGCCAAGACCGAAACTCAAGACACAGTGGTGAGAGATACGTACGCTACCGCTGTATTAACAATGACCAATAATTAAAAACCAGAGAAATGACGAGACATTCAACATCCTAAAACTTAAATATAACAACAAGATTTTTCCTTCATTTTACTGGACAGTCCTGTACCTAAGGTTACACTATAATGTAAAGTAAAATACATTTACTGTATCACCATCATTGTAATATACTGCACCAACTACATTTTTAATTGTATCTATAATACAGATTTGAAACAGATGTTATTTAGTGCATGACCTGTGTTAACAGCACGTGTTGGGACAGAATTAACAGCTGCACAATTCAAGAATTAGCAGTAACTACCCACAATCCCCCTATAATGCAAAAGGTTGGATGGTTACTCTATATGCTACTCATATAAGTTCTCTCAATTCTTAGTGAACTGAGAAGAAGACACACACACACAATAACCTAACCTACATATCACTGGATAATAACCGATTCACAGCCACTACTGTGAATATTAGTGATGTAACTCCACATGTACTTCCAGTTCTTGACAGTCTCTGAATAATTTTCTCAAGCTCAAATTCACACTCTGTTCCCCATAGTTACAACCACAATATTCACACAAAACCGCCACTGTGAAAACCCCTTTTTCCTCTTGCTTTATTCATCTTCTCTTGGTTCAATGTCAGAATGTTTCAGCTTAGCTTACTTCTTCGTGGCAACTAGCTTCTCCAAGTCCTCCTATAAGATAAATACAAATAACAGTTATAATAATGATACTACAAGAAAAATACTTAATTGACTTCATCACCATAGCATCATTACTTGCTACCATACCATCATAAACTGCCCAAAATGTAATATGACCCATCCGTGCTTCACCAACAACATCTTATATTAAACAACAGTGAAAGAATGTCATTTTAGAGGTGAAATTAGTTGCAAATAAATAATACGAGTGCTATGAAGGAATAACAGTTAATGAACGGCAAACTGAGAGAGTATGTCTCTCAATAAATGGCTCATTACCACGACTTATACCAAATTTTAATATATCCTTAGTTCGGGCATGCTTATTGCTTCAATGTTAGAGGAAAGGTAAAAATGGGTATAGATCAGGGTGGTCAGTGGTTGTGTGAGGTAGGTCCGGTGACAAAATAGCCTGGAGACAGAGATTATGTACATGCATTTCAATGTTATGTACAGTATGTATTTCTTGTACAGTACCATATATATACCTGAGTATTATTCAAGTTTTTATGATTAAATTTCTATGCAAAAAGTAGGGGGTCAGACTATACACATGTTAAACTTTTGAGGGGTTAAAATTCATGCATTTCCGTGGGTCATTTATGGTGAGTGATAGCTACCTGGTCCGTGCCTTGTGGTAGGCTAACCTTACCAGTAACCTTCTTTAACCTGGGCTTGCCTAATGTACCCCTAAATTCTTTCTTTATGTTGCTACATGAAGAGCAGAACCTCATTCACTATATATGTCATTTTAAGTCTACAAAACCTGATACAAATGAAGATTTATATATAATTTTCCTTTCATTCACATCTGTTTACATCGCTGTAGGCATTGTTGCCAAGTTAAACTCGTCATTATAGCTTCATCTCCCTAGCCCTCTCCCTACCAGGCCGAGCTATGAGCTACAGTAAATTCCCTCTAACATAATGGATTATACTGTACTGACAAGGCATTAAACAAAAACCAAAGAAGAATAAGGGTAACATGGAACAGTACTGAGGATATATATGGGGTATGCCAACAACCCATCACTAAGCCACCAGATCAAGATCTAGTATACTTGAAGCAACCTCCAGTTAACATGGATCTATTTCATAAGCTGCCAATACAGTATTCTGTTATCAGCCACAATTGTCTTTCATTTATGTTAAAGTAGTGAGATGAGGTTGTACGAGGATGAACAATTCCCGGTGTTACACTAACCTTCCACCCAAGCATCTCGGCAAAGGTCTTACATCCATCATCACAGTCACCGAGCAGAGCAACATCACGCTTGTTGTTGGGCGAGTCCAGGGCAAGGCCGCCAGTGAAGATCCCATGAAGAATTGCCATCACAGGGTCCACGGATCCTGTCTTCTCTCGGTTGATGAGCAGTCGTGGGCATGATGGTGGGACGCTGTAAATTTAACAAACACGGTCTTACTATGACACTACAAACGTTAAATCACCTAAATATTCACCTACCTGGATTTACTGTGTGTTAAGGAACAGTTCAAGAAGACCAGACAACTCACCAACAGCACTGGCTAACCATTACCCCAGAACATGATCTGCAAATCGGCTAACATCCAAGTTCCCAATTACTGCTGGGTAGACAGAAGCAAATAGCATCAAGAAACTTGCCCATAGTTTCACCCTTCCTGGAGGTCAAACCATAACTGCATATTTTTCAAGCTCCATAAAGCCTTAAGAATATCCCATAATCCAGATAATAAGATACTTTAATCTTAAAAGAGAAAATTTAAGATAAAATAATATTTCTGCAAAGTTGAACCTGTAAGGGAAAGATATCAGTTATGAGGATCAGTACTCTCACCTCTACCAAGTAAAAGGTCGACTTACTTGTCGATTAGAGATGCAAAGGGTTGCACAGTGAGGGACGTCCCCAGTATGATAAGAAGGTCACATTTTGGGAAGTCAGACTGCACACAATGGAAGAATCGTGGTGGAAGATTCTCCCGGAAAAAGACAATATCTGGTTTTACAAGACCACTGCATTCACTGCAAGTTGGGATGCTGTCCTTGAAAATTTCCTCTGTAAGAAAAATTAAATGAATTGAAGCATTTAACTTTACTTTGCCTCTTAAAAAACACACACACACACACACACTCCCTTATTCTATATTTGCTGTAGTTAAACCCCGTCTACACATAAGTACATACATAGATGCACTCACACAAATGTCCTCCCTTATTAAGCACAAGTAGTGCTTTCTCTATCCTAACACTTATGCAGACACACTCCCTCACTTGTCATATTCCTGTAGCATGATAATTACTTGTATGTGTTCCTTCAGATAAAACATACTTTTCCATCATAACTCCATACATCTTCACATACACACTGCCTCACTCAACACTTGTACCCAGATGCTCGAAAAGTCCACGCTCCCTCGGTACCTGTTTCTCTGCGTTTTCTAAGGGCAAGTAACTGAGATTTTCAACAAGATATTAGTTACTGTACATGGGCAGTATAAACCAACCTTTCATCCACTCTTGGCTGTATTCCTTCCGACATGCAATACAATGAGAGGTTCGGAATGTACCGTGAGCCTCCACTGTCTTCTCTGCTGGGAGTCCTGCCACATGCTCTAAAGTGTCAATGTTCTGGAAGAAAAAAAAAGCATAAATTTTTTAGTTTCGTTTGTTTTAAACTAACAATGTTATGTCGCTTACTGTCATGACTATCGAGGCTGACTTTGGTTATCTATATTTTGAAATTATATTTGCTACAGTAGACAAACAACTTCTTCATTATATTGTCTAGTTTAAGTACAATATCCTTATAATTCTGTCTGTACAGTATGAACTTCTAGAAACATCAGTAAAGGAGAGAGAGGCCATGTTGCTTTTGATTTCAGCTAAGATGTCTAATATTCAAGTGGTCTAGATATAACTATTTGATTGACAAACCTGTGTGTAGTGCCTAAGAAGAAGTCCCTTGTCGTGAAGCAGACGAACAAACCAGTGAGAAGGTGTCGGGTTGAAGGCACCTGGGTACAACTCCTTGGCCAGCACAAAGAAGGGCTGTGGATTAGTCTTGAAGAACTCTATGTCAAAGATGGCTTCTGGGAAGGGCAAGTTATATTTCTCCAAGTTACTGTACAGCCCTGAACCGGGTGTGCGGAAATCGGGGATACCTGGAAATAAGGGCGAAATTTTGAACATCTTTGCTTTTGTATCACACTATATACACAAGAGGTGGTTAGGTGAGCGGTAACATGGTGGGTGGGTTACTGGATTAGCTACTCTTATGTGGTGTGGACAAACCTGCAGACGTAGATATGCCGGCTCCTGCCATTGTAATAATGCTCTTGCACTCTCCACTCTTGATGTACTTAACGACTGCTTCCACTGTCACCTCATCCAGCACCTGAAAAGTGTACAAGTATTAACCAATCTGTAGTCATAAGTGTACAAGTATTAACCAATCTGTAGTCATAAGTGTACAAGTATTAACCAATCTGTATTCATAAGTGTACAAGTATTAACCAATCTGTAGTCATAGGTGTACAAGTATTAACCAATCTGTAGTCATAAGTGTACAAGTATTAACCAATCTGTAGTCATAAGTGTACAAGTATTAACCAATCTGTAGTCATAGGTGTACAAGTATTAACCAATCTGTAGTCATAAGTGTTTTAACATTATAATATCCTTCTTACTAATCTTGCCTGAGGTTCAATAGCTAATTCGTTTATATCCGTCACTCTGTTTCCTTTTTGTGATAGTGGCGAGTGGCTTGATTAGCTTCTCCCTTCTCCACACAACACTGTACTGTACGTAATCACATCTCATCAAGTGCTTAACACCCTCCTTCTCTATCGTACTCAAGGTTATCTCACCATACTCAAGGGTGTTTGTCATAGTACTCAAAGGTGTTTATGTCCTTGTACTCAAGGGGTTAAGAACAATCCCTCACACCAACCTTGGGAATGTCTGCATCTTTGCTCAGGTCAAGTTTACTCATGAGAAAACTCTGCAGCATAGTCATGAATCCCTCCCTGTCTTCTCCATCACTCTCATCATAGTCCTCATCATCATAGTCTTCCTCATCACTGTCTTCCTCATCACTGTCTTCAGCTTCCTTCCTGATGCTTGGGTCCCTCATCCCACCAATGGCACCCTCACATTCAGTCGCCTCTGCTGAAACATTACATACAAAGTCAAATTCCACCAGAAGCATTTTTTATCCTCCACTGTTTCTATCAATACATAAAGACTTTGGAGAATGAAGGAATGACCGAGGGAAAGAAAATAGAGACTCACAAGGTCCGTACCACGAAGTCAAACCCTGGTAGAACCTGCATTATGATCCAGAAGTTTTTAATAGCATATAACAGTGCCTTCTTTAGGAAGGGTTATGCCAACTTTGCACTACTAGTCGCCATTTTGTATACCTCACAGTGTGAACTATTCTGTGTATAGAAGGTGCTGCTTGCTCAAGCTCTCCTAATGTTAGTCTATCGCCTCAATGCAAGCAGATGATGTTGTGTTTTAGTGAATAATCTTAGTTTTCTCCGTGTTTACTGAAGTATTGTTACAAACCAACATTTTGCAAACCTTACCCTCGAGCCGAGTTTGCGTAACTCTCCCAATAGAAGACGGTGGTGTGTAAGGGCAGAATGTATTATCCATACAGACAACTTCAGATAATGTTTTTATTGCAAACAACTCTCTTACTCAGACACATATCTGGAGTGAAGATTGCAGTACCATTTGTTCCAGTGGTTGTCTGAAGGACCAGAGACTTCAGGGTAGGGGTTGAAACCCACCATGGACTCATGCCACTTGAACTCCTTCAACCATAAAAGACAGTTCATACTCCAGTCTCCTCAGTTTCTGTTGATTTCTAATGCTGCTGTGAAAGAGGAGGATAAAACTAAATCATTTGTTGTTTATTCTCAGTCATAAAATGGAACTTCACACTGCCATTGTTTATTTATGATGTACGAGTCATAAATGAGATGCTTGCGAGACTCTATATCACCTAGGAATGGGATAGAGGATGTCATGTGTCAGGAAAGACTTATTTTAGCCCCCAAGAGGAGACTCACGTTATGTATTTCTTAAGGCCACACAGTCATGGGCTCTAGTTAACTTGGCCATCTTAAAAATAATACTGTACTTTATTCGAGTCCCAGAATATTTAATATTCTTCTCATAAGTCATAAATGAGCAAGACATACGATACTACTCGCTCTAGATACATTGTGACGTTGAGGACAATTACTGTACCTGTACTCCTGTAGTAATTAACTGAGATACATATGTTTTATTAATGAGTTTTACAAGAATTATACCTCCACTTTATTACTTTATTGTCTTTAGTAATACCCTCTGTATGTACATTACTTATATATGATCTTGTATTTATCACTGTCATATGTGTTCCATTTCAATATTTCAATCTCTTTAAGTTAAATTTGTTACAGAGTTAATTCTTTATTAGATGGTAACACTGTTCACACGGTAGCAGTTTGAGATTAGTGTCTGTAAGAGACTTAGTGGAAGTAAGCAGTTTAAGATGAAGCTTTAAACACAGGTCTGGACATAATTTCCTAAAGAATCTGTATTACTGGAGAACTGATTCTTGAAGTCTCCCAAATCAGTGCATCAGTGACTTCTGTTTGTGTTCTGCAGGTCAGGCACCCTGGAGGCCACAGACATTAGTCGCTGGTTATTTATCTGACAATTAGTATTACAGACCTATTGCAACCCTAGTCCTTTGGAAAAAAAATGGAGGGGGGGGTAGGAGGGATAGAAATAACAGTCACCTTTCAAAGCAGGAAGGTGTCAGGTTAGGATACTACACAAGCATTTATACACTGTACCTGTCAGCTGCTACAGATCACCCATTTTGAATATGAAATAAACAAATCCTCACTTACCAGCCTACTTGCTGGTACCTTTGGGAGGAGGTGAATGTTCAACTCACCCATGCATCCTGAACGTTATATCATAGATGAATTAATTGGTCATTTGAGGTTGGGAATATTCCTTCATCTATGAAAATTTTAACCACATGAAAGAACTTTGATCTAAAAAGTAACTTGAGTCTAGATCTCTGAATATTGCTGGCCCATGACAGTGAATGATTCCTCCTCCTGTTCCGCATAACCCAAAGGGGAACTGAAGAGGTTGGGAATTAAGAGATCTCCATTGTAAATCATTAGAATAAATGTGAGGAACTAGTGACTTAGAGATGAAATGAATATGGATACTGTAAAATTCATATTAATTATGGGTAAATTTCAAATATTTTCTAAAATTAGTTAAATGAAAATTCTGTCTAAGAAAAAATTTGAAACGGATAATATGGCTGAGTCAGTCTCTCAGAACAACCCTCCACTATCCTTACCAGTACTTCCTGCTTCTTTCCCAACAACAGCGGCAGCCTTGTTAACTTTCTCTTCTGCTGTCTTAGGGACCTCCTTCTCAGCCACATTCTCCATGGTCTTGCTACCTCCACAGTCAGCCATTACTACACACCTTAATAAAAACAATAAATATAGAATCACTTTCTCTACACTGTCAATACTCTAGCCACAACTAACAATATTTCAAAATCATCTATGGCATGCTATATAATACACTTGAAACCCTATAATTGAACATCTTCGGGGGAGCTCTACCCTTGTTGAATCGCCGGTACCTAAAGTGTCCGAATTTGGTCGGCAAATTTGGACATTTGTTGAGATACTATTTTTTTTCTTCAGCAACTCGAGTAGGCAATTTGGAAAATACACAAAAGAGATTGGCAATCAATTTTCCTTTATTACTCTACCTTATTCCTGCATCTAAGAAAGGTAAAACTTTCTTAGCTGTAAGAGAACACTACATTTTTCAGCACAAAAGACAAATGGTACATTGTGACTCATGCAAATGTTAGTTCAGTAATATTGCTGTGTGCAATGATGTTTGTTTTCATCTTGCTCTTATCCCATCTGTACAAGGACATTTACACAAAGCATTCTTCTCGGGATAAACCCGAGGCGGTGTTCTTCTGTGTGTGACTCCGTATTTCAACTTTTCAGACACGTGGGTGTAGTACTGTACTTCATATACTTTTTTCTCATACATTTTTTTAAACCCATTCTTATGTGATTCTGCTGGAGATTCATAATGCAAATGACTGAACTCTGAATACAGAGAATGGTTACAAGGCTGTGACATCAAACAACTGATGTCAAGCATTACATTTCTAGAGACTGAATGGTTACAGCCGACTGTTGACATCATTTAGCCGAAGCCAAAATACAATGTCATAATCTTACTTTCTTAGACTGAGCAGACATTTTCCAGAACTGTTAGGGTTTCCAAAATCAATACACTACAATACAATCAAACTATGACTGTATTACTTCACTTCTGCTTCTAATTTTACAGGCATATTTCTAGGTGAATAGCTATGGCATGATAACTGACCAAGAGTAAATTACCCCCATTGTTATACTATACAGTACAGTATTTATAACACTTAACAATTTGTTATAAACTGATGATATCATGCATTAACAGTTGTAAAAAAACGAAATAGTTATGTTTTAAAAGATTTGACCGAGAATCGCCACTTTATTTCCTGTTATTTTTATTTACATATACGGTACTGAACCAATTTGGTTATTTTAATGCATAGAATGAAAATGTGGTGACTGAGCAGGGTTTTCCAGGAGGTAAAAAAGCCCATATCTTCTACAGAAAATTTCCACCAAGTTGCTGATTAACAGACAACTGTTGTCAAGTGTTACCAACAAAAGAAGCAAAAAAAAAAAAAAAGTATTCTATACCTATCAGCTTCAGTTTGGTTTTGTCATTTTGTAAAAGCCTAGTTTGTCATAGTTTGTGTTACATGACAGTTTCCCTAAACCAGCTGTACTCAAGACTATAGTGGTCTGCTTTGAGACTTTAAAAAAATATACGTTTTTTTTCCCCTTCCCAACTAGAATAAACATATTACTAGTGATCAAGATGTCAAAATTTCAAGAACTAGAGTGGCAACCCTCTGCTTGACCTTTATTGCCTATTTTTTTTTATGGAAAATGCCAAGGTATTTGATAAGAAATAATAATAATGGGGTAACCAGAAAATTTTAAAACTTACAATAATAAAACACAATAATACTGCCAGTGTGGTAGAATATTACTGCTAGTGTTTCTTAACCATACAGACTACAAGACAATGACATCACACTTCAGGAATGACATTACCTATTTTCACTCAAACAAAGATACACAACTGAGCCTTACTAACCCAAACAACTGCTCCAATTTACACCGTAACAACACACTTCACTAAAGAAACACCCACAATAAATCCAGTAAAAAAAAAACCCACCAAGTCTGTCTCATCGCTTAAATAATTCTGAAACAAATTTTAAAACACAAATTTTTTCCACATATTTTCCCCCCGAGAGGAATTTCCGTTGGTGCCGCCCAAGACAACTTCAACACCTAATTTCTTTCTTTTAAATCCAATCCACACCTTGACAATACTTCTATTCCCACTAGTCTAAAAAATTCTCCCCCTACTATTCTTCGTTGTATATTAAAGTCAATTACGAAAGAGACAAACCTGAAGAAGTCGCCGGTAACTGGGGCTACATATGAGGCCTTGATCACCCGAGGGAAGATTGTGTTGTTATTGTTGTTGTCAAGCTCGGGCGGTTACACCTCAATACACACATATGGTCTCATTGAAAACGGGAAGTTCCTTTATTTCTTCTATTCATTTATCATTTTACATAATAAAATAGATATTTATTCAGTAAAAACTCGTTATTTAAATTCATTTTGCTTCATTGTTTATATAATTAGCACTGATATAGAAATTATTGGTTATAGCTATAGATAGAAGAAGGTACACGTTCATACAAGTTAGGCTAGAATGATTTACCTGGCCATCTTGAAGTATCAAAGAATTTATTTTTTTTTCTAAATACATATCCGATGAACAACAAGATAGGAGAGCAATTCTCTGTATTGCTATACACTAACCAAGGATTGTTGTATTGTGGAAGTGATCCATCACGTACTACCTGTTATATTTAGCTTTAAATTTACACAACTTTTTTTTTTTTTAGATACGTACTTAATGATTAGTCCCCAGCCTAAACAAAGGATCTTCTTGGGAATAAGCATACGATGGCTTTCTTGGGCTATCCTTGGTCGAATCAACTTAATGTTTACCAATGTTTGTATGCCTGCACTGTCTGTGTACATTACATAGGCAGATATTCAGTAAAGATCGTTGTTTCACACAAATGCAGATCACATAAATTGACACAAATACATCGTTTCAGGTTTCAAACATATCCAACATAACCTCAGCCTAACTTTCAACTGACCTGTATGTTCTTGAAGGAGTTGGTGTGTGTTTGATGCTGGAGGTGGAGGAGGTGGTGGTGACTGCTGGAGGAGGAGGTGGTGGTGACTGCTGGAGGAGGAGGTGGTGGTGACTGCTGGAGGAGGAGGTGGTGGTGAGTACTGTTGGAGGAGCAGGTGGTGGTGATTGCTGCTAGAGGAGGGGGTGATGGTGACTTCTGCAGGATGAGAGGGTGGTGGTGACTGGTGAAGGGGATAGTGGGGACTGCTGATGAAGGAGGAAGTGGTGGTGGTGACTGCTGCTGGAGGAGGAGGTGGTAGTGACTGCTGCTGGAGCAGAAGATGGTGGTGACTGCTGCAGCTGTTGCTGTGCTGGAAGAGGGGGTGGTGGTGGTGACTACTACTGGAGAAGGGGGAAGGAGTTGGGGACTTGCTGGAGGAGGAGGAGAAGGTGGTAGTGACTGTTGCTGGAGGAGGCTGTGGTGACTGCTGATGCTGGTCGTGTTGGCGGGTGACTGGCGGGGGGCCGGAGGGGGAGGCGTTGCACATGTCGTCATCATGAGGTGTTTCCTTCACCATGTGGCAGAGGAGAGGAGTTGTGTCTGAAAAGATTCCCAAACTCTTTCCTTTTTAGTTTCCTTTGTTAGCTCGTGTAACAGGGAGTAATAAGGTGATAAAAGTAGAAGACGAGCAAGAAGAAGAAAATGTACAGCAGACAGTAATTGTTTACATAAGCGGAAACACTGTGATTCTATTCGCCCTCCTTTATTGGAATTAGTTAATTTTTACCGCCACACCTCCCCGTCAGGCACTGTAGTGTGGTGTCCTTCGTGACTCATTTTTTTTTTAACTCTGGTTGTAAACACGACGACCTCCGTCAACGGAAGAGGTGATTAAAACTCCGGACGTAACAGTCGTCTTAAAAGAAAAAGTTTAATAAGAAAGGAAAGTTATAAAAATTAGGTGCACATGTTACGTAAACTATTACTGAACATAAAAGGAATTTTAATGAATATAACATGACAATAACTATTCAAAACTGCATAGCTCAATATAATCAAAGTATACTTTATGTAGAAACATTAAAAGCCTGTTATTGTATTAGAAAGACAAGACACAAGCATTATACGTGCTGTATATATCGTTTTGGTTCCAGACATGATATTGTGTATAATGCGGTGTAACGCCAACACGGCGCGCCACCCACCACCCCAGCCCACACCGCACCACCCACAATCCCCCGCCAACACCACGCTACCCAGCATCCCCTACCCACACTGGGTCACCCACCACACCCCACCCACCGCTACCCAACTACTGCCCACCCTCGGCCATAAGCACAGCCTGTGACCACCCGCCAGGCAACTGGAATGTTGGATTACATGTGTTTGGGTGAATAGGGGGTGAAGTTTTATCCCATCTATTGGCACTGTAGCGGCCAACCCTGAGAACAAAGGAGGGTGTCTCGTGAGCACCCCGCCCCCCTACCCCACCACGACCACGTGTTAGGGTGAACCAGTAACAGAGAAGGAGGAGTAGGCCTGACAGGTGACGTCACAGACGAGAAATAATGTACTGTGATTGGATAAGGCTTCAGTTTACAACGAAGTGTACTGTAGATTGAACAACCTCGGGTGTGTTGCCGTGAGTGTGTGGGGGTGTGTGCATGCGGCCCGGGGCTCTGAAGGTGCGTGCTGGCAGATGTCCAAGTGGTGTTTGCTGATTCAGTCAGCTTTCGTTCAAGTGAATAATGCCAGGCTAGCTAGTTAGATTTGTTCTGTTTTATAACTCTCATTACTCGACTTCGGTTTGATAATATAATCTGAGGCAAAATTCCTTCTCTTACCCGTAAATTCACCAACATTCTCTCGCATAAAGTGACCAACCAAACCTTGGATTATTAAAATTAATGAAACGAAAAGGTAAGACACACACACCAAGATTCTTATATCTTATTGCAGACTCTCCCCATTCCCCAATTATTATCCATCCCTTCTCAGCCCTCACTCCTTTTGTCAACAAGACCCACACCGCCAAACAATCAGGTAAAACACTGACTGGTAAAGGAACACATCTTGACAACAATCACTGGACGGTACCTAATAATGTGACCAGTGCCCCTCGCTGTATCTGACCTAAGGATGATTGTTGCTGCAGTGTGAATGAGTAAACGTATAACTGGCATCCTCCTCTTACATCTATCTTGGGAATTCCCCCCCCAATGTCTAGACCACCTAATCCTCCCCTTATGAATCCTCTCTAACCAAAACAGAACCGTCTTCACAATTCGCTGCTATACCTGGGAATTAACCATATCACCTGATGTAAACAAAACACACACACACACACACACACACCTTGTAAGCGCATCATTATTAACTTCTCTAGAACTATACACATAATACTAGTACATTGCTCTAGATAACAGCACCAAGTTTGGGATTTATCTTCGTAATTGTTTGTTATATACTGTAAATAACAACAAAAACATGATTTAATAGATTTTTTTTAACACTACATTCGATCAAGGAGTCCAGAATAGTTTGTGAGGGCGTCTTCTCCCAGCGTTTATCAAAGGCATACATACATACATACATACATACATACATACAAGTTTACGTTAATTCAGCATGTATATATAGACGGTGCAGGTATATAATTCATCATGTATTATAAACCTTTCAATCTAAACAGACAAAGACACAGACGAAAACATAGAAGAAAAATATAAAACGTTGTATAAATCTGTATGAATAATCAGGGAATGTGAAATTGTATTACGTTATGTGTTTCATGATGTTTAGGCTCCCCGGGGAACATCTGGGGTGCCTAAACTTAACTTGCATTAGATAAGGATGCCGAATCTTTGGGTGATTACTGTGGGGGGTGTCTGATCTTCATGAGGACCTATTTATCTTGAATTCCAGACAGCCATTGTTAGTGTGAAGGTTTGGTGGTAGGGGGCAGCACCTCACACGGGGGACGGTGACAGGTGACGCAGAAGCCATACATTACCTGTAGTTGTTGATTAATATATTATAACAATGACTATAATAATGTTAATATCATTAGTAATAGACAAATGTTCTCATAAAGTAGAGACGAGTAGATTTGGGTTATTTAAATATCTACTTGTTATATAAAGTACAGTGACTCGGTGATGTTACTATATACTGTATATATGTATGTTTTATTGTAATGTTTAGTACTAGTTAATGTTTTTTTTTACGGGTATTATCTCACCCGGCGTAGATTACCGACCCATATCGAGACCTGGTGGTGGTTGGGGGAGTAATTGAACCATAAATAAATACATAAATGGAAAAACAAATTAAACAAATAAAGCGAAACGATATATATGTTGTGTTGTCAAAGTAAAAGAAACAATTGAGTCTGTATTTCGTTAAATCTGTCGTAATACTCCACCCTGAAGACTCGTGGCTCTTGTCTGATGAGAAAAACAGTCCTGTAACATGACGTTTGTTTGGTCAATACAATCGACTTCATGTCCACGCGAGAAACAGAGTTATTTGGGGGAAATTATGAGCCAAATGGACTTTAAAGAGCTACGGAATGATATCAGTTTCAAGAGTAGTCAAAGGAATGGTTGTTAAAGTGCGTAATAGAGACGTGACTGACCGCCCAAGTGGCTAACAGACCGATCACTGACCAAGTGAATAAAGTGAAAAGTAAAATAAGGAATTGTGTCAAGCAGGAGCGTCGGCCGTCTAGGGATAAAACTATGCTGACGTTTATTTACAACATTTTCTCATGGTTCAGTAAGTTGATCAACCAATGATTACTCAAGAATTCGTTAAAAGCTTCTTATCGCCACTTGTATTTACAGTACATGTGTGTAAACGAGTAATATGGGCGCTGCAGTAAATTAAGATAGTTTCCCCTCTAATAAGTTATCGTTTTCTCTGGTTTATTTGTATAAAGTCTACGGGAATTGCACGCTTTATTTCAGAAATTGTCACGTTTATGTGGTAAGAAAATCGACCTTTATGTTAAATCCCTTCGACAGTTGGGACAATGAGCTCTCAGAACCTCTAAAGATGATGGCATGAACAGAAGATCCCCAGTGGCTGGAAATTGGCATAAATGAAGATGAATCCAGCAACTAAGCTTGTACAGTATACGTCTCCTAGGAAGGTTATTCAGATCAGGGGCGGATCCAGGAATATCAAAAGGGGTGGGGGGGGGTCCAAGAAGTTGTGGGTGAGATAACATGGCGATCATAGCAAGCCCACCCAGCTGGGGGTATTGGGGGCGCTGATAGCTTCCCCCCCTCCCCAAGGAAAAAAGTAAAAGCTGACCAATATCATGGGCATTTTGAGGCCATGTTGAATGCATGTTACTTGATATTAGAAGATATTCTGAAGTCAATAGTAATTGATTTTTACTATAGAGAAACATCTGAGTACAATATTGCATTTAAGAAAAAAGGATTAGAATTTTCTGATGAAAAGGGGGTCCAAACCCCCAGGAACCCCCCCCCCCCTGGATCCGCCCCTGCAGATACGCTCTTCAAAAGTGAGGTACTTCCCCGCCTGTAGTACTGTCACCCCGCCGGGTCCTCGAGATGTGCTTGAGACTGTCAGTTGACTAAAAACATCCAAAGGAGGGCCACCAGACTGGTGCCTGCACTACAACACTTCAGTTACCGAGAGAGATTAGAACGCCTGCAACTGCCTAACTTTTGTTATAAGAGAAGGCGGGCAAGGGGGAGAAGGCGGCAAGGGGTGACTAATAGAAGTTTATAAACACCTCAGAGGGCAGTACTCAGTCGAGTGTTAGACCTGGAGCTGGAGGACGCCCGCCCCGCCAGGGTCCCAGGTAAAGGCTGAAGAAGTCACAAGTTCAGAAAACTGTCAGGGCAAACCTTTCGGAGTGAGAGTGGTGACCTGTTGTAATAATCTGGCAGAGTGTGTTGTGGCGGCACCGAGTGTCGGCTCATTCATGGCCAGACGTGACCAACACTGGAGCAGGAACAGATACATTCTGGAGCCCAGTACTTGCCAACAGTGCGTTAACAGAGAAGTGACCGAGTGGCTAACAGACCGATCACTGACCAAGAGGATAACGTGAAAATTAAAGTAAGGAATTGTCTCAAGCAGGAGCGTCGGCCGTCTAGGGTTAAAACCTTTATTTACAGTGTTGTTTCGTGATTCAGTATGTTGATCAACCAATGATTTAATAAAAAAAAATTTAAAAGCTTCTTATCTCCACTTGTATTAACAGTACATGTGTGTTAACGAGTAATACGGGAGGTGCAGTACATTAGGATAGTTTCCCCTCCAACAACAATCTATGTTTCAAATTTACAAAGTCTACGAGAATTACACACCATATATCAGAAATTATCAAGTGATTGTGTTAAGAAATTGACTTTAATCTTTGACTTTTATGGTAAATTCCTTCGACAGTTGGTACAATGAGCTCTGATAACCTTTAAGATATTATTGTACAGATAATGGTATGAACAAGAGATTCCCAAGTGGCTGGAAATTAACCTAAAATGAAGATGAGTTCAGCAACTAAATTTGTATACACCTCAAAAGGTTATTTAGTGAGGTGTTTCCCCGTCTAGAGTGCTGTCACCCCGTCTGGTCCTTGAGATATGCAAGTGACAAGACGAGGTGTATGGTCTGTCACGCCTCTTGTACCTGTGATTAGTGTTAGTCACGCCAACCACTGCCTTCCTTGCACCTGTAGAGTAGTGTGACTGTCTTGTAGTACACACACACACACACACACGCGAGCACACATATTATTGCACGCACATACACATTATTGCACGCACACACACATTATTGTACGCACACACACACACATTATTGCACGCACACACACATTATTGCACGCACACACATTATTGCACGCACACACGCTCTTTTTTTTCTCTCTCTCTATACTTTTGAGAACATTGGATCAGTCTCTCTCTCTCTCTCTCTCTCTCTCTCTCTCTCTCTCTCTCTCTCTCTCTCTAATTTTGTTACATTTCAGGAAGAAATTTACAGAGTATTAATCACACGTACCTCAAGTCCTTAATATCATTCACAAATATAATAACCTCAGCATAAAAAAACATACTTGATAATTATGAAACTCTAGGAAACACATGAAGTAAAACTAGTTAAATTATATATCTGTGAAGCATGTACTAGTAATGATCAGCTAGCTGCTAGTATAACCTGCAACTAGACCTTGAAATTGTACTATATGAAGGATTAGTATAACCTTGTTGACTATAAACTTTTTCATTGGTGGTGGTTCTTCCTACTCAGGTTTGGCTGGTGGTCGACTTGGCAACAGTGTGTTGTGGGTGTGGGGTGGAGGCGCCCTCAGTGTTGGTAACGCGTGCCTGGTGACAGGTTCCCGGGTTCTCCGCTCCCCTCCCTATCATTCCCGCTCTCACTCGGGTGATAACTGGACCACTTAATTGATCTAGAGTATAACCAGTCAGATTATTTTGAGACCGGGCCGTTTATAGCCTGTGTGTGTTGGTTAGGTGACTATATATATATATTAGTCTTTACTATGGCTGGATCGTCTTTTATTTAACCGAGTGATAGAATCCACTTGGAGTTATCGAGTTAAGTTGTCTTATGGTGTCATACAGGGAGCTCCAGTTATGACTGTAGTGTGTAGAACGCAGTTATATTAATTTTCGCGAGTGATTGATATGTACCCGTAGTTTACTGGACCAATGTGGGTGAAACCTCGTTGAACCGACGGCCGCCAGAGTAGCGTGTTGGTGGACCGCTGGTACTGAAATGAGGTATTGTTAAAGGTAAATATTGCAATTACCTCGCCGTAAATTACCAACATTTACCTAAAGTAAATATATATATATATATATATATATATATATATATATATATATATATATATATATATATATATATATATATATATATATATATATATATATATATATATATATATATATATATATCTCACATTATCAACTTTATAAATTTCTTCATTACAGTCAACCTTGACTTATTAACACGAACAACAGTTTTAATACAAAACAATAGGCTGGAATTTCAAGTGAAATTGTGGGTAATTAATTGTACTCACCAATCAGACTCACAGACAAGCAGGAATTGTGGACTCTAATTACTGTACCGACCCTCGTGACAAGAGGTAGACTACATCACCACTGCCTGCAGCACCCAACACTGGCTGTCATGTGTGGGTGCTCGTCTCGCTGAGTGGAGCCTCTTACGGCAGCACAATATTATGAGGTGAGTACAATACAGGAACAGGTCATCACCATTTGGTATTAAACACAATCCACGATTATCAAAGGAAAAAAAAATTAGTAATATAAGTAAATCATCCAAAGAGGGTGACTAAATATCTTAGTTAATTATCATCCGAACTGTACATTAATATTATACAGTTACTTAACCATCATAATTGTACTATAATTCAACCAAGGCTTTGACTATTATCCATATATTGTGTTATATCTCGAATGATTAAACAGTTATTCACTATATATATATATATATATATATATATATATATATATATATATATATATATATATATATATATATATATATATATATATATATATATATATATATATATATATATATATATATATATATATATATATATATATATATATATATATATATATATATATATATATATATACATATATATATATATATATATTTTATCATGTTCTGACGTTTGGGGAAAACAGGCATCTTAAACGAATCTACAGGTGTTGAGGGGGGGGTCGGATGCCTTTCGTTATACACAAGAGAAACGAAAACTACTTCCTCGTTCATAAAGTTTGTTACACGAATGGAATGAAACTTTCGTATTCATTTCATCAAACTCAAATAAAGGTGAATCTTTTACTCTTTCGGAATACTTGTAATTTTATATATATATATATATATATATATATATATATATATATATATATATATATATATATATATATATATATATATATCTTAATTATCTAACCTAATCACGTAGTTCTAGTTATCTACCGTCATTAAATACTAATCACGTCACCTTATTATCAAATTTGGTGAATCATTTAATGACCTCATCAACTCACCTAATCACCATGTCTAATTACGTAATCTAATCACCTATTAGTACATACACACCCACACATACACACACTTGCCAATAGACTTAACTCTTAAATATAAATACATAAATAACTCACAAATGCACTTAATACCACCACCAAAGGCAATGCTTAACTCCCTAGCCATTAATTCCGGTAATACACTCACTCATCTTCTTATTACTTAAGTGTATCGTCTTTTATCAGTCCATAATATCCCTCCAATTTAACTTTCTTCATTTTTATTATTTTTTTCTTTATTTAGCTCATTATAGCTTTTGGTCGCTGTTATTCATATATCTGTGAATTTCTCTTTTGCCCGATGTATGGTTTTGGCACGCGAGGGTTCATCTTTTGTTTTCTTTTGTTATAAGTTTAGCGTAACGTATAATGAGCTAAATTTGCAGTAATCTTTTGTTTGGGAGTTATTATCCCCGCTATATAACCCAAAAATATTTAATGTTTGTATTTATACCCACATCAGCTGACTTTTGTTATTGTTTACAGCGTGTTGAGATGACGAAGAAGAAGACTCGTTTTTCACCCTAGTAAAATTGACATGACTCATATACGTATTCCCATGGACTAGCCACTGAGCTTACCTATAAACCTTAAAATCAAATAGAGGAATAATGATCATTCTTGTCTCCGTAACTTCGTATTGTTGATGTCATTTTAAAATATAATATTTCCCTCTTGATATAGTGAGTAATTATATAAGATCAGGGGGGGGGAGGGGGGTGGGAGGGAGAAATAACAGTGATTTACAAGAACGTCATCCATAGAAGAGTCAATGTTACCAACGCCACGAAACATCCTCCTGGTTGTGTGTGTGTGGTTAAACGTTTATAGTAGGATTAATGGATCGACATGTTCCCTCTGTAATCCTCCTCTTCTTGTGTTCTCTCTATTTTTATCCTTCATTGTTTTCCTGTGAATGAACCTCCTTTCTGTTGGCTATTGACAGACAGGTTGGGTATAAATAGACAGTCCATTGTTCATTCTTTCCTACTATCTGTCTGTCTGGTTTTTTTCCGATGTTCTGGCTATAATTGACATTGGGTTTGATAGATAGATAAGTAGATAGATAGATAGATTGATAGATACTGGTGATGTGTCATGGAGTACCCCGCTGGAGTGAACTGGTTGAGCTGGTTCCCCCGTTGACTGATACACAGACAACAGGTATCAACCGATCGAATCTTGTCCCGGGGTCATACTGCGCATGCGTCACCGTCTCAACTCTAGAAAATTATTAATTTTACATTACTGCTCAACTAATTCTAACGTATTTAGATTTTTTTCCTCCCAGTTTATTTTGTATTTAAATGTAGAGACTAAATCCACTTACGTTGACTAATCAGATTTCAGCCATTCAGATTACCGTTCGGGTTGATGATTTCATAAAACACAGGAGGAAGAGTTAGTCTTCATGACAACGTAACGCTATCAGATCTAATTAAGTTCATAACCCCACACAAGCGACCCAGACGACTATATATACGTGGTTAGTATCGGGTCCCCCAAAAATGAGATGAAGTTATACAGTAGTTATCAGAACCAGACCAGAAAAAACTAACCAATGTAATTTTTTAGTTTTTGTACATTAATTTTCAAAAGGTCTATGGCATTTGTATATCTTATTCCGCAATGTCGTATTTTTAATCTTTTTTTCTTGTATCCTCTTCACCGCTTGAGGGTTTAATTTCCTTATCAACAAACACGCTCAGGTACGTCTCACACTCTTTTTCTCTTAATGCTCTTGGGAGTCTAGCCATCCCAGCTTATTTCATCTGAAGACTAGACACCCCAGGTCATTACACCCGTGGGCCAGAACAGAGACATACCTGCTAGTGCGTAAATCAACAAAACTCGAGGTATCTACAGATTTCTACCTTAACATACATTTGTGGAAGTTAATCTGTTAAATCTGAGGTCTGGTGGCGGCCGCAGATAGACAGATCAGAGAGATAGAGAGAGGAAGAAGAGGTGGAGGACTTTCAAGGCAGGTCAGATTAGGTAAAGTCCGCCCGTGACCTGTGTGTGTGTGTGTGTGTGGGGGTCCTACATTCAGGAGAGAGAGAGAGAGAGAGAGAGAGAGAGAGAGAGAGAGAGGGGGGCTTACACGCACATAAGCTACACGCACACGCCCTACGAGACCTGTCCACATATTAGACAGCCGTTGTGTATGTAAATTTTTTAATGGTTAATAAATACAGTAATTACTAACATGTTATATGTACGTAATGATCTTAATTATTGACTTGATTTAGTACATTTATTAACATTAAATTCAGGAAAAGAAAAGAAAGTTATGTTACAAGATGGTAAATTATTATATATGATTTAAGACTTTACTTTTTATGGTACAAAAGCAAATACAAAAAATACAGGGTGTCTCATAACTGGTGCTTGTTGATATCTTGTTGTTAAGCACAGGGATACCGTAACTTTTGGCGACCGTAACTTTTGGTGACCGTAAGTTTTGGCGACCGTAACTTCAAAATCATGGAAAATCTCTGTAAATTGTAATATTATATAGCAGATGTGTTTAGAATCCTTAGTAATTGTTGTCTATACTCTATGCGCCAATCAGAATGTAGTCTTGTTTCTAATTCACATGTCATTGGTCGGCTTATAGCGTGTAGTGGTTGACGAGTAAAAAAGAGACACTCACCATACTCTATGTTGTTTACAAGTTGAAAAAGATTACGCCAATCAGAACGTAGTCTTGTTTCTAATTCACATGTCATTGGTCGGCTTATGGCGTGTAGTGGTTGACGAATGTGTTTTTTGGAGTGGCCATGGGGATGTTCTGGTCGATTTAATTCCTTGCTAGCTAATTGCCATAGTAGGCACGCGACTGTTTGTGTATTTTGACGTCTGGACCAGCCAAGGAGTGGATAATTATGTCCGTTTAATTATCAACTTTCATTACCTTTACGTCATAATTAACCAGGATCTTTTAATTTGGTCGTCCTTCGGTTTCTTATATACGTGAATAGGGAAAATATTTGAAAAAAGCTTAATGTTTGGGGGAAATTATTATAAAAAAGTTGAATATCTGGGGAAATTAATATAAAAAAGCTACATATTTAGGGAAATTATTTTAAAAAGTTATAATCTGGGGGAATTATTATAAAAAAGGTACATATCTAGGGACATTATAATAAAAAGCTGCATATCTGATTCATAAAGTGTCTATTTCCTCTCATACAATTTGAATGCCAGGAAGGTTATAATTTTCCCTGAGACATTGCTGCAGCCTCACGTGATCTCACTGATGGAAACGACAACAGCAGCCAACAACTCACGTATCTTGATCCATATACTGTCAGGTCGAACATAAACACAATTTTGTTTTTCTCATCAGAATTTCAAACTTTTTTTTTATGTTTTTTTATGTGTGTATGTATTTTATTTACCTGTATATGCAAATTTTCTACCTGTGATTGTAAATATACCCAAACTAACACCTGTACTTATTACATGACTGTGTATGCTAATTTGATCATAAACTTAGGTCATATTGTTTAAACACTAGCATCCCCCTCCCCCCCCCTTCGTGGTGACCCTGTGAAGATGGTATCATGACCTCTCCAATAAATAGATCAGCAGCAGAGGTCATCGCCTAGTGAGGAGGTGACCCTATTTAGTCCTGACCCATGTAATCACAGACTCCGATTCTCAAAGGACCTTATCTTAATTTTTCTCTCCTTTATCTACGAATTTTGTCCCCCTTATCTACAGTAGAGTCGTAGTAAAATTTTAATGTAATTTTTTTTATTAATTTCGTAAGGAATCTGAAGTATGTGGATTAGGTTAGGTTAGGTTAGGTAAGAGCTTTTGAGAATCCGAATCCTGACCTGTTTTCATTTGAGAATCCGAAGAGAGAGAGAGAGAGAGAGAGAGAGAGAGAGAGAGAGAGAGAGAGCTAACCCATGAAGTTTAAAACAATTTGGCCCATGAAGGAGGATATTTTAGTCACCTCCAACAGCATCACAGCCTTTTAATATCACTAGGTCACTGTCACATCTGAGAAGGTCACGTGGGTGGGCGGTGTGGGGTGGGGGCGGGGCGGGGGTGGGGTGGGGCGGGGGGTGGGGGGTGGGGGCGGGGGGGGGTGGGGGGGTGGGGTGGGGG